TGTAGGTGAGAAGCAAATACAGGAATGGTGGAAAAGCAAACAATAAAAAACTTCAGACTGAGATCACTTCATTCCTTAAACAGGAAAAAGAGCTCTGCCATTTTGATAGGGACTATCAAGAAAATGGATACATTGTCATAACTGCAATTTATCTGTGTGTTATGAAAATTACAAAGGATGCTGTACACCTTGGTAGATTCATCAAAATTGTGTTGCATCAATAGGGGGATTGTTACATTTTAAGACTTAATTTATAACTTACCATTTGCATCTTTTGAGGCAAGATAAGACTTTAGGATAAGCTTAAATGTAGGTCTGGCACTTTTAAATCTTTTTACCTATTCCCTTTGGGGAAAGGACCTATGCTAATTGGCTTATACACCTGTGTATATGGTAATTAATGCCAAGGTCCTTTCTGTAATCTTAGAATAAGTCTCAGGGTAGTAATTGTAGTCATACCCCAATAACCTACCAATTGTTTTTAATCAAACAAGATTTCCTTTGATAAACACTCTGGAATAGCTAGGGAACAATTTATCAATAAAGCTGCAATAATACCTGGGGAATGGGATGAATGTAACTTTGTTTAACTGGACAAAACTCACCAAAAGTCAGCATTTTCAGGCAAACAACTTCTTACTGGTCTTTGTTACAAAGGTGTTTGAAATCAAAACAATCTCCACATAAACCTGACACTTGGATTACTAAAAAATGTCACTATAAATGTAAGAACTCTTAAAAAAAACTCACTGGCTAAATGTGAACTGCAATTACTGGAGTTACAAACATTTTCTCTTATTATTTAACTATATATTTCTTGAATCCTGATTCTTTTGATCTTAATATACTGGACAAATGAGAGCAGAGTGCAGAATCTTTTTTCTCATTTGACAGGATGGGTTAAAAAAAAAAACACACACACAACACAAGTTATGAACCTCCACAAATTACTGACATGTTTTTATAACTGTTTATTGAAAGATGTTCAAATCTATTGATATTCAAAAAGCTTTTGATTGAAAATGACAAAAATGTCATTCCAAGCTTCCAATGAAAATAATCAATAATGGATTGCCATTTTTCTCTCCAGAATGAATCATGTATGCATTTGGCAAAGTTGTTCTTAACAAGCAACTTGACAAAAATTATGATGTAGATTTAGATTTTTAAATTGTTCTTTTTTCCTGCATCATTGCAGAAGGAAAATGTTGCTGAAAGATTTTCTTTTGCAATCTTTAGTCAAAATTACAGGCCTCAACCCCATGTCCTAATGTCAGATCCAACCTATTTTAGTCTTAACAGAAACTCCTTAGTAGAACACCAACTATGGACTAACACTGTACCAACGTCAGCCTAACGTTACTAATGACGTTAGGATATAATCATTTTATTCACTGGCCACTGTTGGGCTAAGGTGATAGTGGCAACGTTGGCTTAAGGATGTGCATTGTTGAAAATCGGTACTAAGTCAGTTTTATCATTATCCATCATAAAACTGTCTTTGGCCTGTTACATTGACTAAACAGTGGGAAATTGGCAAAAATGACGTTGAGCAACTTCATTGAACTAAAATTTAGCCAAGCGCAAATTTTGAGTCATGGATCGTGTTCCATAATTAGATGTAATATTGTAATTTTCCACAAAAAAAAAAATATATCTATCCCATCCCACTAAACCTTTTAATGAGACGACCATTAACTAACACAAACTAAGAAATAATTACGTAACTATTATATAAACGATCAACAAAATCAACCCAGCTCTGCCATACTCACAGGGTACAGGGTATCGTATCGTTGCTAACAATTTAATACCAATAAGTTCTCAACTTCCTGTTCGAGGTCTAAGCATTTTGGTTCAAGGGGCGTCACATGATTCTTTCGGGGTATTTTGCGATCAAAAGGAGAAGGGATGTCTACAATTTGAGATTGATTTTAATGGTAAAAAATATTAAACTTTAAAAAAAAATTAAGCATATCTTTGGGCACATATAAGCACATGCCCCAACGTCAGCACTCCAAACACCGAAGAACGTGGGCCCAACGTGCTTTTCCAACGTGGGAATTATAACCGCTAAATAATGTTACCCAGCTATTGGCTTTCCAATAGAAGAACGGTCGTCGCTCGGTGGCCTAAAGCCACCCTTGTGAGTTTCTGTCAGCCGTGGGACGATGCAGGTGTACTATTAAATTAAAGAAACCTCGCTACTTCTGGGAAGACAACACAACCATAAACAATTTAAATTTCAGTTTCAGTAGCATAATTGTTCATTTCTAACTATTCATCGTTTCAATTTCATGCGAATGATGCATAAATCAGTATATATTTTACGTAATTATTTCAAGTCTAGCGAAGCTTTCAGAGACGATTTTACGCAATTATTTCAAGTCTAGCGACGCCTTACGAGACGATCGTACTTGCAAAAGGTGTATGTAAAAATATTGCACGAGCATCGTGTTAATTTACATCTACACAATCCTCTTATTTTAACCTCTTAACGACAGTAACAATTTTAGCATTGGCAAAGGATAGGCCATCTAATATATGTGTATGTAAGGTTATATTTGATTTGAGTGAATATACGGACAGTATTAGATCCATACGGTACAATGTAAATGGCGCAGCATCCCAGTTGCTACAATTAACGAATTGTTTTGAAATGCAGTTAAAAATAAAAGGAAATTCGTCTTACCTTACATTCAGTAACACTATGAGTCGCAAGTTCAACTCTAGCAAAATTTCCTTTGCCCAAAACATGGCCATCCATAACATAACGACCAATACAGTGTATCTTTTTTCCCATTTCTGCATCACTTTCACCTTAAAATTAATCCTCGGGAATATATAGTTTTGTTTGATTGCTGCATAATCCTATTTTATTTTCCGAAACAAGATGGCTGACTTAGCTACTTAAAAATAATCGTATACAATAATCCCAAATATGGAAACTCAAGTAAGACCAATGTCCGCCATCTCAAACAGTTTTGCTACTGCTTCTTTGATGTACTAATGCGTACTGATGATGCGGAGTCTGGTGACAATGATGGCGCCTTTATTGACCAATCGAAAACGAGTCTACAGGATACGTATAAACGGATACAGTAGTGTATTGTGTAAGCTAAATATTATTTCCGAATATAAACGAACAAGGCAGATCTCGTTTGGAAATTATGCAACTAGACAATACAAAATCGTTCCTCCAACCGGACAAAACATAATTTAAGAATTTTATCGATTCAGCGACATCTGACGACATTGTAACAGTTGAGTGTACTCACTGAGTAGTTAGTTCTGTTAGAGGAAATAGACCAAAAAAAAAATCTATGAAAAGTTCGAAAATAGTATTCATGTTATAGAATGTACTGGTTCGATAACACATATTTGCTCATGCCTTCTCACTCGGGTCAATATAAGTGGAGAAACTTAGAATTTAAAGAAATCAAGAAAGAACAAATATGGACAGCTATCGAACATTGTTTTCCTGGTAATGGCTTATTGCAGACACGCCATAAAGGATCAATACCTCTCGGTACCTCTGTTGATCTCTGGTACTCATTATCGCTTTTAATCGATATTCACTTACATGAAAAAAAAATCAATCAACGACTATAGTCATAAAATTTTCATAAAATTAATTATTGCAAAATCTCGTGTGATCTGACGATGCCATGACAACAAAGCATATAATTTTCTGAGAATCCAATGTGCCGTGGAAACAGCTGTTAAGCAGTCTGACGGAGAAAACCGGAACTAAAACAATCGATTTCCATGAAATGTTTTACACTCTGGACACAGCCGCGACAGCATCGTTTAAACAGCGGCAATACACACAAGTCAATGAACGATACGGTTATATGTAAGTCTATAAATGGGCCACATTTGAAAGCCTCCAAAAGGGATATTGTATAAGGAAACAAAATACCTTCCCTCGAGTGGCATAGCGAGGGTACTTAGCGCCCGGGGACAAAACATAAACTTGGCAACCCCTTCAAGTGCATCGGAGATAACAAATACCAGGTATTTTCCTCATTTGTGGCGCCCCTGGCATATAGCGCCCGGGGACAACTTCTGACCACCCCAGGATACGCCCGCCACTGCTTCCGTCATTCGCATTCTTTAATCACTAGCAACGTCGTTTCGTTCCAAGATTTTATTTGGTAAAAGCTTGGTAATGATGCCTTATGGTACAATTAACATGTTATATGAGATCCATCTACATAGCTCGCGATCTACATTGAAATATGCACCTGGGGTCTGAATTAAAGAATTTTAAAAAATGCTAATCAAATAATAAATCTCTCTTTTAGTACTGAAAGTTATTTCCACAATATTTGTTATAAATGGAGCGAACTACTAATGTAAGCCAATTATTTTACTTAAATACAATTGCTGATGATCCTGTTTGAGGATATATGCCATGTGTACTCGCTTGACGGTCGAGCTAAAGTGCAAATAATATATATCATGATCTGCCGTAGAATAATGCGCCTGCAGATTAGGGTCGATGTTGTTTGTTCTACTGATTATTCCTAACAAAGTACTAAGACCCAATTCAGCTGGCGCGTTCTGCGACGGTATATTTTGGTCTACGCAGTTTGCGTTTGGACTCGTCTCTTAAGCTAGTTTGTACGGTATTTTCCGCAGAAGCAATGAATATAGATGATCAAGAAAATCAATATATCGTGTGGGTTCCACATCTCTTGTTTGGACTTGAATTTATGACTTTTAATTTGCAAATGATGTGGCATATTTTGCAAGAGTTCTTGTGATTTGGATTTTTTACGAAACTTCAACAATTTTTCATTCATATCGCTACGATGGCTGCAGCGTGGCAGTTTATAGTGATGTCAAGCACTGGGGCATCATGCTGAAGACATGTAGCATGATGTCACACTAAATCACATTATTCTGACACCAATCCGACCAGTCCTAACACTAACCTCTTAATGCTTGGCGCCAAGCGAGGCAGCTGCTAGTACCATTTTTTTTTATTTTTAAGTCTTTGGTATTACTCAGCCGGGGATCAAACCCACGACCTCCCGCACCGGAGGCGGACGCTCTAACCACTAGTCCATACCATTGTATATTTAAGATCGTTACGTATTGGTATATTCAAAAGGACAGCCATTATTGTAACCATTTTATTTTTCGCATCATGCATATTTGTCATGCATTTCCGTGTCCGGACTTTCCGCTAATTGCCATTTCTACGTTAAATTAAATCTTCATTAGGCAATTAAAGGGCAGTAAGAAAGACGTAAAACTGAAACAGAGGGAGCGAAAAAATATAAAACTAAAATATAATTGCATGGGTGTTCCTGATCAGTATACATGTGAATTTATGAGGTTTCCTACATATTATTTGCATGTATGATTGGATTGTATGTCAGAATCATATATACATATGTTTTATCTTCATTATGTCTATGTTGAAATAAGTATACAATTTTATTGTATTTTCATTTGTGAACCATCTGACCACTTATTTTATATATGCAACTAAATCAATTTATACGTGCGTGTGTGTATCTATGTATGTTTATGTGTGTCATTTTATAATATAACCTCTACTTATATTGAATATTCCTCTGCCACGACTGCAGGAGCGCCCGGAGAATTTCTTGCGGGTGGGGCAAATATGTAGTAGTCAGATATAGAGTTTTACAGATGTAGGCTGAAAAACGTATAGAGGTGAAAACATGGGATGGGAAACAAGTGCCCCATTGCCCCTATCTTCGGGTGTCCATGGACAAAAGGCATATGGACCTTTGTGGCCAAATATACTATTCTCGTATAATAATAATAATAATAATAATAATAATAATAATAATAATAATAATAATAATAATCATTATTATTATTATTATTATTATTATTATTATTATTATTATTATTATTATTATTGCACTTTTTAAATTTTACTTTCGCCTACATGCCTTTTTCGAAACGTTTTGGATACGGCAAAGAGAACGTCATTTTGAAGTGTACTTGTTCCAATTACGGAAGAAGAATACTAGATGAGAACAACAAAATTCAAATATGCTGCAAGTAATCGCAAGTTTTGGGACGTTACAGTTTTTGTATTCTATACGCAAGTGCTCTTATCTTTGCTTAGTCAATAAGAGTAATTTCAAACCCCCACCCCCACACAAACGAAGAAAAAGTCTAAAACTTTTTTAAAAAGTTATTTTGCGCCCACTTCTTGAAATATTATCTTTTCATTTTTACTAATACGTTTGATGTGTGACTTGTAAGTTCTCTTTTCTGCAGATGAGTGAGACAGTGATTACAATTAAAAACAATTTATCACAAATTTATGAAGTCCTGCGTGTTGTGAATTTAACGGTTATCTTTTACAATTGATCCACGTAGAAATGAGAATAAATAACACTTCACGTGCTATTTAAAATTGACTATAAATTAATGCATTTTTACTTTAATTGAATCACCTAATTGTAACCTAAGTAACTGGGTGTGTGGCTTTAGCTGTGTCCGTTTTTGTTTTTGTTTTGTTTTTTATTCGGGGGGAGGGAGGCGGAGGCGGAGTGGGGCTTATTTTAAGTTTGATGGAGCGACAATTCAAGATAAGTGCCAGGAGAACTGTTCCTTTGCATTTTTCAAGCAATTGATATGCATTGAAATACCTGCCTTGATGTTACTGGATAAGTTTAAAATTGTAGTGTCCAACAAGAAAAACGCAAATTATAAATAAAAGAACGCTACTTCTATATGTACTATATATATATATATATATATATATATATATATATATATATATATATATATATATATATATATATATATTCTATATGCTACTTCTTTTACTGAATCTTAACAGCCCTACCCCGCACTAGATACGTGGGAGCTACTTTCAACGTGAAAGTGTAATGACCATTTAAAGTAAAAACAAGTCAAGGACTTCTACGGGCAGTCAAATAGGATGACCACTCAGCGACTGGCCAGATCCGATAAATAACCAACCTGATTATTAGCAAAACCTCCGCACCTGCTCAAGGTGATAAATTTTATACCTATTACTTCTGCAGGTGTCGTATGTAACCACTCTCAAGTTAGTAATGTTTTCCATGTTGTCCGTCAATAAAAACATTTCATGCCGCATCTGAAATTTGTTGATTCTATTTCACTCTGGTTTTATTTTTCACCCTATACCGGCTATGCTTGCTTATGAGGCGATACCACTGTAAAGCGCGAAGACACAGATCAAATTCAATAAATTAAATGGGGATTAACAAATTATAAGCATCCATGAATGAAATTAAAGTAAGAATGGAAGAAGGGGGGAGTGTAATAGAAAGAACGGGATGCATATAATAGAGTAGAAAAAAAAATAACTGAATGAATTTGAATTTGAAATAGTCGGCTGTTCTTACAAGAATACAATATATAGCAACATACACAAGCACCAAACGCATAGCAAACACCGGACATAGCAAACCTCCAGCCAAGGTTAACTTACAGATATAAGGGGAATGACTCCGACAAGGGAAATAAAGCCTTGTCGGATGAATGAACCTTTAGAAGACACTAGGGAAAATACCCCAACGAAATTTAATTTAATGGAAATTAAAATTTTTTGGAATTAAATAAATAAATTAAACATAGCAACATAGGGGGGAGGTAAGCACGAAAACATACACTTTTTAGATATTTTTTTCCCGCTAAGTAGGAGGGGAGGCATCTGTCTAATGCCCCCCCCCCCCAGAAGAGAGATCTGGCGGTGCGCCAGCAGAACTGACTACGTGAAGCTTGTTAGAAGCAATAATCAGACTAAAATATACAGACCCTGATCTGCAGATGCATTATGCATCAGGGATCTTTGCTGCTTACAGTTTGCATTATCTTATAAGCGAATAGAGACGTACATCGTTTCAACATACTCAAACAAACCTCCATGACATCTCTGGGTTATAGTTGAAGTTCATGGCCCAATTAAAGGACAAACAAGGTTTACGTGTAAAGTATGCGCTCATCCGACGGAGATCACTTTATTTTGACATCTGTAAATTCTGACCACGTTTAGTGTTCCAGGTTTGTGTTTTCTTTTTTTTTTTAAATCATTACAATTTCTAAAATGTTCAGACCAAAGAAGTTGGCTATTTTATCGTTGAATGCGATTTATTTGTGACATTTAACCGGGACTTTTTATTATTGCCGTTGATGTGTTGAACTCGCAACTGAATTTTGTACAATGCATTTTACTCTCTTCAGTTATTCGCCAACTCATACTAACCTGTAAGATGCCATTAAATATATTTTTCATGTTGAAAGTAACTTGCCTAGGTCTTTATTTATTTATTTATTTATTTACTTATTTATTTGCTATAATTTCTAGCAGACACCAGCCTTGACTGGATGTGTGAGGAAGCACTGAATTTATAAAACGTACAAATTCTTATGCGTACATACATACCAGTATTTTGTTTTCGTTAATTTGCATCAGCACAAATATAGTATACAAACAGCTATTAAATACGAAAATACGGAAGCAATCCGAATGGAAATTCACAGGAAAACGTGTAGAGCCCAAACATTACCGCTAGCTTAAATGCGCCGCTGTGGCGTACTTGGGGGGGGGGGGGGCTCGGGCGCCGTGTGCCATGGACGCCAACATGATGAAAATACATTGTATTCGTTATCTCAAAGGCACTCAAAGGGGGCGTCAAGTTTATGTTTCGTCCCCGGGCGCTAAGTACCCTCCAAATGCCCCTGATGCGCCGATTCCAGGACAGATGAAAACAAAATGGGTTAATTCGACTGTCTCCGAGTACCCTGACAAAGCCAAAATGGTGTGCTCTTGTAATACTTATATTTATCTCTATATCATAAGGAACAGAATGATGACAAATATGGCACGGTAGACTTTGGGACTTGATAGAGCGTCGAGTTAATATTTTTGTTTAAATCATTATGATTTAACTCTTGTACCGCAAGGGTGGCAGTTTATGTACCCGACTAAGCAAGACCGGATCGAATGCCAGGTGGCCTTGGAAAAGAAAAGTAGGTCCTATTTCCCCGGTAAGATATAGCCAATAATGTGTTAAAAGTGCCTTGGAACCAAAACAAACCAATATAAAAACAAGCACCCAATTTAACTAGAGTAAAGGCAATTATGAAAACTGGATTACCCTCAAGAGGTTAAATAATTTCTTTTATAACAAAATTAGTAAATTTTGATTGAATATTGTTATTAGGTTAGTTATTTGCAATCGTTTTATAGTCTATGATCAATTAAGACACGCAAGAAAGGGTGTATTTTCATCCCTCAATTCGTATACAACAGTTTTAATTTTCTTATAAGAAAGTTTAAAAGCCACAAAACTCATATTTTGTGGATGTTTAAGCAGCGACGTTGTACAGTACAAGTATAAAATAGTGTATATTATTATTATTATTATTATTATTATTATTATTATTATTATTATTATTATTATTAAATTCACCCTTGCCAATATTGTGTGTATTATTGATTTGTTAGTTTGGTTATATTCAGATATAATAAAAATTATATTCACATTTAAAATACTGGAGAATCTTAATAATGTGTGTATGTATGTGTATGTATGTATGTATGTATGTATGTATGTATGTATGTATGTATGTATGTATGTATGTATGTATGTATGTATGTATGTATGTATGTATGTGTGATTGTTGGTAAATATGTAAGTATGCATGTGTGTGGGGTGTGGTTGTAGGTATGTATGTATGTAAGTAAGTATGCATGTATGTATGTGTGTGTATGTATGTATGTATGTATGTATGTATGTATGTATGTATGTATGTATGTATGTATGTATGTATGTATGTATGTATGTATGTATGTAGGTGATGTGTAGTTGATGGTAGGTGGGTATGTTTTATGCTGCTAATTAACTTACTATTTTTTTCAAAAATACGCCCCAAGTGGTGACACATATTTTCACACCAGTTCGATACTTTAGGTAGGTAACCGGGTTTCTTATTTTATGGAAGAATTGCTTTTAAACATGTTTTAATTTACGGTGAATAATTGTTATGTTAATTATTCTGTCTTACCTAGTCTAAAAATATATATCTAT